TATCAGTTGTTGGTCATACAAACCTTCAGGCCTGATCCTCTTCTCTCTATGGGGAGTAATTTTGTAGCCACAGTGATGGGAAGGGACTTTGTGTCAGCTGCAGAGCAAGAGCTAGACCTTGCGAAAATTGTTAACGATGAGGTGTGTCTAATAGTTAATTAATAACAGTTAATAACTGATTATTAATTGCTAGGTTAAGAGTAATACTCCAGTGCTATTGTGCTCGGTTCCTGGTTATGATGCTTGCGGTCGTGTTAATGATTTATCAGCATCACAGAACAAGCAGTGTACATCAATTGCTATTGGTTCAACTGAAGGATTTAATCTTGCAGAGAAAGCAATCTCATCAGCTTCAAAGACTGAAGGTAGAGAATTTAGTAACATTAGCACTTATATATTATTGTTACAATAATTGTATTTAGTAATAATTATTATTGTTATTGCTAGTATTATTAAAATTTCTTTTCTTAAGATGGGTCTTATTGAAGAATGTCCATTTGGCTACCCAGCGGTTAGTGATTATTTTGAATGTTGTTGTTGCAACTCAATCCATTCTCAAGACAAATGTTATCAAATTGTTTTTAAATTCCTGACATTGAAAGTGAAAGTATATGAATAGTCAATCCTAGGGAATACCATTACCAACAGGAGCACAAGTGTGATTGTCTGTATCCTGAACCTTGTGATAATTATTGTAAATACCATGACTTTTAGATTAGTATGTTTGAGTTCATTTATGATTGTTAAATCATCTACTCTTAGTGTGTGTGTATGTACATGTACTTGTATGGTACACTAGCAATGCTGGTCCTTGCAAGCCATTGCATGGTATGCTTTTTGCCTGTTTTTCTTTCTTATTCTGTCTTGCTTTGATCACATTTTTCCTTTTACCTTACCTCCTTTCTCCCTCTTCTCTTCCTCTCTCTCTCTCCCTCCCCCTATCCACCCTCTCTCTCTCTCAGTCTATCCAAGATGACTATGAGAAGTTACTAACTCGTGATATTAATGTCCAGTTCCTTCAAGTACTGGCCCCAGGTGTTGTTCATCCTAATTGCCCCTCTAACAAGACTGGTAGTGCCACTAATTTGTATCCTTCAGCTAGTACTCCTTCTGGTGACAAATCACTTGCTGATGGGGTGGGCATTAATAAGAGATTAAAAATGGAGGATTTGGGACTTGTCCTGGTAGACGGTGGATTCACTGCATCACTTCTTATATCCAGGTACTTG